AGAATATCTTTTGGGTAAGCAAGGCTATGTGAAATCTAATGCAAACGTCATGTCATTGTGGGAAAACGCAACTGCAATTCCTTCATCATCTTAAACGAAATAGGGTGAATGTATCTCACACAACGATAAATACTTCGTGTTCAACACACACACTCGCGTAATCATACCATTATATATCTATGTAGGCTTATTCATGTCGTTTTTAGTTATGAGCATATAGAAGAGGTAAGATTGAGTCGGACAAGCTTTTTGACGTAATATGAAACTTTTACAAGAATGATTTCCAGCTCTGATGAGGTCCATTATATGATGGCCGATGGCTCAGTCTGTCTTCACCCAAAACGAGGGAGGGTATTTCGTGGACTGCGTCAACCTGAGCGTCGTATTAAAGCCGATTGGTTGCAGATCAACGTGAATGGGCCATCGTCTTCTGATGAGATCTATCTTCGAATCACTTCTGTGTGCACTCTCATACGAAATGAAAGTCTCCACATTAATGTTAAATTAAGCAATTCATCGAAATCCAGTTATTAATTTATAATCACTTTATATAACCTTATATGGTGCCCAATCTCTTGGTACACCTATACCATAATCTAGCATCTAACAGCTGATGATAAAGAATTATTACTTTACTTGGCTTTGTCGTTTTGCCAGCTCCACCGACTACCAAAATCTGTATCGGATACATGATAGATATTTGTACGCTCTCTAAGGCGGTGACAACAAGAGAAGGTATTTCGCGTTCAACCGACTAACCTAGCAACAAGCCACCATAGATTGTGTAGACAAGTTGTTGTTCATGCCAGCCGGCAGTAACAAGTCAGTCTCTTCAAGTGCAGGCGTCTAGCTCGTCTGCTGTATCGATACTAGAGGACAGAATGTGGAGCTAGGCAACAGACGAAGAGTGAAGAGGAGTAGGATGAAATAACAAGAGACTTGTATATTGCTGCATCAGGTGACAAGCTAGGCAGGCCAGATATCACATGATTTCATCATACAGTTGTCGACAGCACCTGCATAAGCCTTGGTTACCGTCTCCGAAGGCGCTTAGTTTAACGGTTAAGGGGGTGAGCACGTGTTGATGAGGCTAAAAGTGAGGTCTGCCGGCACACTTTGAAGCAGTTTCGAGGCGGCTGGCTTCTTCCGTGCTCTGCAAATTCACATCATCCCCGAGAAGCGGCTATAAGAAGGACCAAATGAGACGGTGCCTGACGACAGGATCGCAGTTCAATCGTGCCTTGGTTAGCGAAAAGAGAGCGCCAACCTTCTTATTTCCGATCTGAGATATCCTGAGCCTATTCGCCTCGTCTGCTCGGCCCGGTTACCAGACGTGTTCGTCTATGAGCTCGTCTGAGGTGGCATGAGTGGTGTCAATGTGGACACGGTGGTGAGCACAAACCCGCCGCCACCGGGCATCTCGAGGCGAGTCACGGTACAGGTGAAGGTGGCCGTCCGAAAGCCTATGACGTGGAGAGACGACGAACCCGCCTGGCATTCGGAAGAGGTTGATTCTTCTTTCCCTCCTCCTGCGCTGCGTCGGGAGACATCGCAACGTCCGATCTTCCGGGAGAAGGCACAAGTTGAGCCTTTCTCGACGGGTCAAGAAGACGTCGACAAAACTGGTAAGACAACATTCGATGTCGCTCCTGAGATGGAATCGCGTATAGAGCCGCGGCATCGATACCAGAAATTGGTTAAGACGCCAGATCCAGTCGCAACCTCGGTCTCAGCCAGGCCGCCAACTTCGGTCCACAGCTCGGACTCTACGCCGCTACCAGCTCCGGTCCGAGAGCCCCAAACGAAGGAGG